GACAGGCAACATTACAATAGTGTACAGTGTGGCAATATAATAACAATAAACTGTGCCAGGTGTGTTGTATGCACAGTAAATAGGCTCAGCAGCAAACCCACCTTTCTTATATATCTTCCTGAGACCCACTGCATCCGTCTGCCATAAACACTATGGAAACCTACATGTTAGTTTCGGCCCATAGTGGACTCCATTTTGTGTTGTGTAAAATGGGGGGGGGATAATCATAAAAACATTTAGTTTTAGTTCAAATAATATTTAAAATGATATAAATGATCATATTTGTGTATGTGCCCCTGCCATTCCTCCACAAGGTTGCAACATTGATGATAAATAAATGACAAAGCTTTGCCAGTTTATAACCGATGAAACATGATGGTATCAGAATAATCACTTACATGTGATGTATAGGATGCTACACAGGTCACTAAAGATACAGTGTCAGGAGAAATAAGCAAGATACAGGATCTGTTTAATCGCCATGTAGGTTCTCTTTATTGCACTCTCAAGACATAACAGTAAATAGAACAATTTCAAATGTAAATAAAATAGAGGTTGTACATGTCAGTAAACATTGTCAATATAAAATAAAGTGTCAGTTGTACTATATAATAACAGTAATAACAATATAAAATAAACTGTCCCAGGTGTAGGGATAGGCTCAGCAGCAGACATTAACAGTGGCAACTATAGGGAGGAAGACCTGTTGGCTTTCACTAGCTGGGAAAGCACTTCCAGAAACCCATTCTGAAAAGCAGTTTGTCGCTCATCTGCCTTGGTGAACAGCACCATCTGATCCCCGTGCATCAACTCTTTCACCACGGCACGCCGGTCCTCCAACGCCTGGACGGTGTCAAAGAAATTCGCATCCCGTGTCCGCTTTCCTAAGAGGGAAAATAAGATCGCCATGTAGTTTTACAACATACTAGGAATGTGTTTACTAGTCAACATTGGACAGGGTGCAGGCCGGGACAAGACACTGTACACAATGGAGGTGTATAGTAGAAGATAATATAGGATCAAATAGCATAAAAAATATATATATATACACACACACTGAGAGTGTGTGTGTGTGTGTGTGTGTGTGTGTGTGTGTGTGTGTGTGTGTGTGTGTGTGTGTGTGTGTGTAGCTGCCGCTCAAAGTGCCCTTCTTTATTGTATTGTATTTTTGAAGAGTGCTTCATGTATGCTTGAACTGTGTTTAATGTTGTTGAGGCAAGTTTTCTTACCGGAAGTCATGTGACCTCTAGCCCGGATGTTTACAATGTTTGTGAGAGAGTAAAAAGGCGCGAACATTTGTAAATGCCGGTCTAGGCGAATACGTTTTCACGCTGTTTCATAATTGTACCAAGAAGGAAATAAACGTGATTGTGAACATCAGTTCGATGCGTAACGTTCTTTCAAGACCAAGTTACAGTGTGTGTACCTTTGCGTTTGGTTGCTGGTAAGGGGGGCGAGCTAGCGCTGTGATCTAGAAGGCAAAGCTCGCTTGTTTCCAATCCCGAGAGTTGTCCATCCTCGCCTGAAACACACGATTAGTGCCATGAGTTAGTGAAGCAAATTACAGAAACACTGCACAGTTATTCACAAGTCAAAACGTTTTCATAGCGGCCGAGAATATCTAGCTAGCTAGATGTTATTAGCCAGCTCGGGGCCAGTGTTAGCCAGTTCAGCCTAGCATGGCTAGCTTGATCTACTGAGCAAATAAAAGTACATCTGAGACCATTATTGTGCAGATTAAAACCCCAGTGCATGTAGTTGATTTTACCTTCGTCGTGGTCGTCGGCCTCTGAATCCGCCGTTTGAGCGGCCTCCCACACCATCGTGCCCGAATCGAAGGTCGATGCTGTCCCGGAGAATGAAGGTCTGTGCCTAGCAGAGCATCCAAGCGCTCGTACCATTTACTGGTCTTCCGGTCGTTAACACTCTTGTTATTATAGTCTTTAATTTTTTTGTAGTCCTGCCGGAGTTTCTTTATTTTTAGCCGGCATGCCGTGGCGCTGTGCACGATTCCCAGCTCAAGTAACTTTTTCGAACAATGATCGAACATCTTGGAGTTGGGTACTGCCTTCAGTAGCATTCCCTGGGTCGCGTCCTCGGCGTAGATCTCCAGAAGCGCCGACACCTCCTCATCACTCCACCGCTCCGATGATTTCTTGATGCTTGCCATAACTGCTTTCAAAACAAACTACTCTCCGTCGGTGCGCTGGGTTTTTGTAGCGAGCAAAAACAATGACGTCTCTACAAAACATTTCAGAGTTGTACGGGGCGTGGTTTGCAATTTGCCCAGCCAATCAGAACTGGGGCACTTTTTTCCCACAGGAAAGTACAACCTCTCAGCAGGCACTAAAAATGGGGGTAAAAGTTCCTGAGATTAAGGGGCACTAACGGAACTAAACGCGAAAAGTACGGTGAAAAGTACTCCGGTGTGAACGCGGCTAATGAGTATTTTGTGTGTGAATGCAGACATTCTCCTGCTATGAGATACATGTATGCAAGGCCATCTGCTGATATTAGAGTTGATATATGGAAACGCTAGCAACTTAGTTAGCACAGTTAGCACTGTGTCAATGGCTTAGCAGTCCAACACAGTTTACACATTTAAACAGTCTTGTTTGATAAATACACAAATAACAATGCAAACTTACAGGTTGTGTACCCGAATCTTCCCCTGCTCCAAACGGTCCAAACAAACTAGGAATAGCATCGTCCTTCAGTTTCAAATGCTGTGCATATCCGGCCTCAAACTGGGCAATGTTTTGGAAGCTTTCGTCTGTGAAATGCCGGTTCTTCGAACCTCTGAAGGAACAGTGTTAAAAAGAAATTTCAACCACTGACTTCGTGGTGGTTCTTCCGTCGGTAGGACAAACAGCTCAGAGTTCTCCTCACATTTCAGGAAACAGGTCCTTGGCATTGGCATGACTGGATCGATTGTGAACTGAACCAGAGCTTCCAACAGTAAATGTTAGGCTGGCAGAGGGTGCGGCCAGCGCCGCTGGGTGTGACCATAGCTCTTCGGGATTGGTCCATTCCGTTCCGGGTACGGCATGACATCATGCCGTACCCGGAAGAATCAAATGGGCAGTGACGTATCTCCAACGAGGCGTTTTGGGGAGGTATTTTCTGTGTTAGAGTTTTACTCGCTACAGGGTGTACTTTGAGGGTTTTGACTCTGCACACCGTTTACATGCAGACAAACCTTCATAACACACAAGGGGACGGGTAATAACCGGAAGAGCATGACATGGGAGCTTTAATAAAAACGATTTTAAGATCTACCGAAGAGGAATACATTTTTGTTGCTGATTGGGGGGGGGGGGGGGGGGGGGGTCTCTAACGTTTACACATACATGTCTTCTGTTGACAACACAATGAGGAATGAAGCTAAATTCATTCATTTATAAAAAGTTATTTTAATAAGAAGGTGCCAACGTTAGCAGACTTCATCACTGCTGCAGTACCGCCTCTGACCACAGTGAGCTGCTGTAGTGCGGGGGGGGCGCTGTTTCACAGGAAACAGATGACGTGTGTTTACTGTCGGTCTCTGGCTCCCCCAGCAGTGGAGATATAAATAAGATACAATAAATAAAGAAGTGATAATAATAATAATAATAATAATAATAATAATAATAATAATAATAATAATAATAATAATAATAATAATAATAATAATAATAATAATAATAATAATAATAATAATGCAAGGGACAAAGAGGTGCAAGTGAAAGGAAAGGTCAACTATTGAAATGCAGAATCCAGTTTACAGTAATAATATATGAATAACTGTGTGTGTCTCTTTAACTGTGCTGATGCTCAGGGTGTGCCCCCCCCCCATGAGGGCGGATCTACACTAGTTTATATGCAGCTTGTTTATATTCAGTCTGCAGATCGCAGCCTCCATCAGAGCCTCAGACCTCCATCAGAGCCTCAGACCTCCATCAGAGCCTCAGACCTCCACCAGACCCCCATCAGAGCCTCAGACCCCCATCAGAGCCTCAGAGACCCCCCAGGTGAGTGTGTGTTTACTGAGACTTAATAAGCAGCTTTTTGCACAGATTTCATGCTGATTCAGCAAAACTGTGACGTCACTCTGGTTATTAACCAATCAGAAGACCTCAGAGATCAGCTGTTGTTTATAGTGGTTATTATTATTGAACTCTGTCATATCTGTGTTTGTGGTACTTCAGATGTTCTTACTGAGTTCCATTAAGGTTCCTAACTACTGTTCAGATGATCAGAGCTCAGCTCCTCACCAGGGAAATACTTAAAGGTGGGGTAGGTAAGTTTGAGAAACCGGCTCGAGTGCGCTAGAATTTGAAAATACACAGCCGGAGAAAATCTGCCACTTCCTCACAGAGCCCCTCCTCCAACACACACGAACATGACCAATGAGGGCACGAGATAAGTTTGTGCCCCGATGGAAGGCTGACAGGCAGGTAGGCCATCCAGTTATTTCAGCCGGGCCGGCTCAGATGATTGGTCGTGCTTTTTACAGTACTACAGCTTCCACAGATGATATTTATTTATGGATTTTTTGTCAAAGCACTTCAGATATTCATTGCTATCGGGATGTTAAGAGCATTCCATGGAATATAACAACAAGTGTATCTCGAGCCGGTTTCTCAAACTTACCTACCCCACCTTTAATGATATTACAGCTCCACAGCGCAGTATGAGTAAGAGTACCATGAAAAGTACCTGAGATGTGTACTTTATACAGTATAAAGTATATATAGTAGAGTATAAAGTATATACGGTATAAAGTATGTATAAAGTATACACAGTAAAGTAGGGGAGGCTGTGGCGCAGTGGGTTAGTGCGTTGGTGTTGGGATCAGGGGAGCACAGGTTCAAACCCCACTGCAGTCAGCATGTCGTTGTGTCCCTGAGACACTTCACCCCAAAGTGCTCCTGTGGGGATTGTCCTCAGTACTGAGTATACATGTGATGTAGTGTAATGTCAGAGTGTGTGTATGATGTGTGACAGGATTGGCTGTCAGGATGATTGGCGGCTCGACGTCCCGCCTCCAGCGCTCCCGGCTCCGGGCTGCCGGGCTGGGCTCGGTTCAGGAGGCGCTGCGGTACCAGAACCAGGACTTCAGGGTTCTGCAGGAGGACTGTCTGCACAGCGGGGTTCTGTTCCAGGACCCCATGTTCCCCGCAGAACCCCCCGCACTGGGCTTCAAGGAGCTCGCCCCCTACAGCGCCAAGACCAGAGGCGTGGAGTGGAAAAGACCGCCGGTGAGAACAAGAACCTCCAGAACCTGCAGAACCATCAGAACATACAAAACCTGCTGAACATACAGAACCACCAGATCCCACAAAACATACAGAATTAGAACCTACAGAGCATACAAAAGCATTAGAACCTACAGAGCATACAAAAGCATTAGAACCATCAGAACCTAGAGAACCTGATCATATTTGAATGTTACAGGTGCAGAAAGGCAAATGATCTGTGATTGTGTTTGATATCAAAGAGAGAAATATAAAGTGAGCATAAACTCCATGCTGTAATACGCTCGTCTGTGATTGGCTGCTTCAGGAGCTGACGGAGAACCCGCAGTTCATTGTGGGCGGAGCCTCGAGGACGGACGTGTGTCAAGGCGCGCTGGGTGAGTCTGTGATGTCACAGGAACTAAAGGATGTTCTACGAGCATTAAGCCAGAACCATTAACGGGTATTGATCCCTCAGTGCAGAACCGGTTCCACTCAGGAACCCAGAACCCAGGGAGGACATTGGTACTAGAACCTCCTGTCATGTGATACCCTGGGCAAACATCTATATTATTCACTGTGGCTTTAGAACCTGGCTTTAGAACCTGGCTTTAGAACCTGGCTATCAGCCCGGAACATACAGTCCTTTGTTTACAGCATCATGAAGCCAGACATTGTGGAGGAAAGCTGAACAATGTACATTTCAGGGTAAACAGTGAGGTTCTACTGTCAGCAGCTGTTAGCAGGCGCTAGGCTAACGGTAGCTTAGCATCACTCTGGAGAAGGTGATGAGGAGCACAGAGGCTTTAGTGGAAAGGGTTCTGATATAAAGTGAAAACAGTGGATAAAGTTCCAGGTTGAGGTTTGAGTTTCTGTCCGGCTGAAGCTAACGTTAGAATCAGGTATTTAGAACCCTTTAGAAAGGGTACTGTATGAATATTGCTTCAAACTGGATCAAAACACCTCAGGAGAGCAGAGGAGTGAAACATAGTTCAATGAAACGTGCGTTCAGGTGAGCAGAGTGCATGTTTCGCATGTTAATAACTTGAGTAGCACGTATTGTAGCCGTGGGGTTTGTGTATTGTTGTTAAGTCTCACAGAGTTCACCCTGCAGAGGCAGCTGACTCGGCTTTATGGATTATGGGATGGAGCTCCACTAACTGGAAACATTATCTTAAAGTGCTGATGGTAGCATTTAGCTTAGCATTAGCATGTCCCCACAGACCATCAGAGTGTGGTAATGGATCAGCTGACGGTCAGCCAGCGTCTGCAACAACAACAGCTTCCTGGAAACATCTCTGAGACTCCAAACACTTTAATAAATCATTTCCTGTTGGAGTGCAGGAAGTGATCACAGGAGTAAACATCAGGTGATCAGGAGTAAACATCAGGTGATCAGGTGTAAACATCAGGTGATCAGGAGTAAACATCAGGTGATCAGGTGTAAACATCAGGTGATCAGGTGTAAACATCAGGTGATCAGGTGTAAACATCAGGTGATCAGGAGTAAACATCAGGTGATCAGGAGTAAACATCAGGTGATCAGGAGTAAACATCAGGTGATCAGGAGTAAACATCAGGTGATCAGGAGTAAACATCAGGTGATCAGGAGTAAACATCAGGTGATCAGGTGTAAACATCAGGTGATCAGGTGTAAACATCAGGTGATCAGGTGTAAACATCAGGTGATCAGGTGTAAACATCAGGTGATCAGGTGTAAACATCAGGTGATCAGGTGTAAACATCAGGTGATCAGGAGTAAACATCAGGTGATCAGGAGTAAACATCAGGTGATCAGGTGTAAACATCAGGTGATCAGGTGTAAACATCAGGTGATCAGGTGTAAACATCAGGTGGTTACACACCACAGTGATAGGGCTTTATCAACAGACATAATAACTGCTTTTTATTCAGCTGTATCAGACTGTTGTTATTATGGGATGCTTTTCTGTCTGATTTACATGTTGTGTGTGTGTGTGTGTGTGTGTGTGTGTGTGTGTGTGTGTGTGTGTGTGTGTGTGTGTGTGTGTGTGTGTGTGTGTGTGTGTGTGTGTGTGTAGGAGACTGCTGGCTGTTAGCAGCGATTGGCTCTCTGACTCTGAACGAGCGTCTGCTGCACCGCGTCGTTCCTCTGGAGCAGAGCTTCACGCATCAGTACGCCGGCATCTTCCACTTCCAGGTGAGACTGCACCTGAGCACAGGCCCCGCCCCCTCACCTGGGCACAGGCCCCGCCCCCTCACCTGGGCACAGGCCCCGCCCCCTCACCTGGGCACAGGCCCCGCCCCCTCACTTGATCACAATGCGATCAGGTGATGCAGGAGTTTGTTTTTCAAAGTAAAAGTCTTCACTGTGTGTGTAGTTCTGGCAGTTCGGGGAGTGGGTATTTTCAAAGTAAAAGTCTCCACTGTGTGTGTAGTTCTGGCAGTTCTGGGAGTGGGGATTTTCAAAGTAAAAGTCTTCACTGTGTGTGTAGTTCTGGCAGTTCGGGGAGTGGGTATTTTCAAAGTAAAAGTCTCCACTGTGTGTGTAGTTCTGGCAGTTCTGGGAGTGGGGATTTTCAAAGTAAAAGTCTTCACTGTGTGTGTAGTTCTGGCAGTTCGGGGAGTGGGGATTTTCAAAGTAAAAGTCTCCACTGTGTGTGTAGTTCTGGCAGTTCTGGGAGTGGGGATTTTCAAAGTAAAAGTCTCCACTGTGTGTGTAGTTCTGGCAGTTCGGGGAGTGGGTATTTTCAAAGTAAAAGTCTCCACTGTGTGTGTAGTTCTGGCAGTTCTGGGAGTGGGGATTTTCAAAGTAAAAGTCTTCACTGTGTGTGTAGTTCTGGCAGTTCGGGGAGTGGGGATTTTCAAAGTAAAAGTCTTCACTGTGTGTGTAGTTCTGGCAGTTCGGGGAGTGGGGATTTTCAAAGTAAAAGTCTTCACTGTGTGTGTAGTTCTGGCAGTTCGGGGAGTGGGTGGACGTTGTGATCGACGACCGGCTGCCGGTGAAAGACGGAGAGCTGCTGTTCGTTCACTCTGCTGAGGGGAGGGAGTTCTGGAGCGCTCTGCTGGAGAAAGCCTACGCCAAGTAAGAGAGACACACACACACACACACACACACACACACACACACACACAGTTTATGAGGTTATTTCCTCTCTCTATTAGGGATGCCAGCGATTATTCGAATATTCGTTACAGTCTCCATAATCGAAGATTATTTTTAAAATTCGATTTTATTTATATATTTTTTTATTACTATTTATGTTTTTCTTTTTTTTCCTGGTTTGGTTTCAACCTAAATATAGACTAATGCTAATAATAGTAATAGTATTAATAATTGTAAATGACCATTGGTCACACCACCAGTTTGTTTTACTGTAAACTTGGAGGAAGCCAGCAGCGCAGAGTGCAGAGTGCTGCAGCCTGCTGCACACCGACCCCGCCCCCCCCCTCCCTCTCCGTCACACGTGCGATTGATTTATTGGCGACAGAACAGTGAGAACACAACTAAAGATGAACAGAGCGGCACGTCCACAGAAGAGTTCCTCGTGGAACTACTTCGAACTGACAAGTGCAAATGAAGTCAAATGCAAGCTCTGCGAAAATCCTTTTATTTTCTCTCTCCCGCGGGGGCGGGGGGGGGGGGGGGTGTCGAATAATCGATTAATATTCGCCAGGGCTGTCCGATTTTCGATTTTGATCATGGTCAGTTTCTGGCATCCCTACTCGCTATATCCTGTGTGTTTCCTGTGTGTTCTCAGGCTGTGCGGGTCCTACGAGGCTCTCTCCGGCGGCAGTACTTCTGAGGGTTTTGAGGATTTCACCGGCGGAGTGTGTGAGAGCTTCGATCTGAAGAAAGCCCCTCAGGATCTTCAGAGGATCATCGGCCGGGCACTGAGCCGAGGCTCGCTGCTCGGCTGCTCCATCGACGTCAGTCTACAGAGATATATTGATTTATATATGTATACTTCCTGTTTGGAGTGTGTGTTAATGAGGACCTGAAGAAGTGTGGCTCCCGAACGCTAATGTTACGCTGACAGAACGCTAATGTTACGCTAACAGAAGGCTACGCTAACAGAACGCTAATGTTACGCTAACAGAACGCTACGCTAACAGAACGCTAATGTTATGCTAACAGAACGCTAATGTTATGCTAACAGAACGCTAATGTTACACTAACAGAACGCTAACAGAACGCTAACAGAATGCTAATGTTACACTAACAGAACGCTAACAGAACGCTAATGTTACGCTAACAGAACGCTAATGTTACGCTAACAGAACGTTAATGTTACACTAACAGAATGCTACGCTAACAGAACGTTAATGTTACTCTAACAGAACGGTAATGTTACGCTAACATAATGCTAATGTTACGCTAACAGAACGCTTCTTCTTCGAGTCCGTAGAAATCTCAGATGTTGTTCTGCCAGTATCGGGCACAGGCCACAGCTGATGGGGTAGGTTCTGCCAGGTCTTCAGGACTGCACCGGGGGGCATCGGCACATTCCAGTAGGTGGGACATTGTCTGCACTGATCCACAGCTGCACGTGTCTTCTGTGGTGTAGTTCCACACTTTCATCAGTGCTTTTCACCTCCCCTGTTCCACACGCAGTCTATTGAGTGACTTCCAGGTTGTCCAGCCAAGGTCGTGGCCACTAGCGAGGCTTTCCGTTGGTGTGATTCCTCTGTCCAGCCATTCAAGAGCTCGTGTGTCATGTCTTTGCCATTCATCTTCCCAGATGTTGGTCCTTGCTGCTTGTTTGGTTGTCTGGAGGGGCAGGACTGTCTGCACAAAACTGGCTCTGGATCGGAGCCTGCGTGGGATGCTACATGGCCATGCAAGGGGTGTCTGATGTCTGTCTCCTGTGTTCTCCGTTCATCTTGAGCGATGCCTAGTCGTCTGATGTGCGGGGGAGAGATGCCGGCTAGCGCATAGAGGCACGGGACAGGTGTTGTCTTAACGCACCCCGTGATGATGCGGCAGGTGTCATTCAAGGCTGTGTCGACCAGTTTGGTGTGACGTGATGGGCTCCAGCTTGAGCAGGCATACTCTGCTGTAGAGAAACACAGGGCCATGGCAGTTGCACGGATTGTTGGTGGATCTGCGCCCCACTTGGAGTTCACTAGTTTGCACAGGATGTTGTTGCGGGTGTTGACGTTGGCTTTGGTGTTCTCCAGGTGTTTCTTGAAGGAGAGTGTCCTATCCAGTGTAACACCAAGATACATGGGATGCGTGTGGTTGGACAGTTTGTGGCCATCCCAGGTGACGCTCAGTTCTTTTTTAGCGTCTCGGTTCCTCAGGTGGAAGCTGCATAGTTGGGTTTTTGATGGGTTGGGTTTCAGGTGGTTGTTATTGTAGTAGCTTGACATTTCTTGGAGGGCACTTTCAAGGACAGGCTCAATCTTCTGGAGGTCTACTTGTTGGGTGGTGATGCAGAGGTCATCTGCGTAGATGAAACGCTGGCATTCTGGGGGTAGTGGCTGGTCGTTTGTGTATATGTTGAACAGGAGGGGGGCCAGTACGCTACCTTGTGGGAGGCCGTTCTTTTGGGCTTTCCACTTGCTCCTCTGGTCATTCAACTGGACGTAGAAGCGCCTGTTGTTGAGGAGGCTTTTGATGACTTGACACAGATTCAGGTCACCAGTCATGTCCAGTAGTTTCCTGACCATTGTACGGTGTTGGACAGTGTCATAGGCAGCAGAAAGATCTATGAATGCTGCTCCAGTTATTTGTGTTCCTTCAAACCCATCCTCAATGTGTTGGGTGAGGTTGAGTAGCTATCCAGCACAGGAGCGGCCAGGACGGAAACCAGCTTGGTCTTTAGTCAGCTTGGTGTCTATGAGTGGCATGAGGCGTTGGAGTAGCAGCCTCTCGTAGAGCTTGTAAGTGATGCAGAGGAGGGAAATGGGTCGGTAGCTCTTTGGGGAGGATGGGTCTTTGCCGGGTTTGGGGATTGCAACCACTTTGGCCTTTCTCCAGACAGGAGGGATGGTTTTTTGTGCCATACATGTGTTCAGCATCTCCAGGACCCAGGTCTTTGCGTTAGGTCCCAGGTGCTGTATCATTTCTGCCAGTATGTCATCAATCCCTGCTGCTTTTCCGGGTTTCAGCTTATCCATTGCAGTTTCGAGTTCTTCTATGTCGAAGGGTTTGGTGAGAGGGCTGGCTGGTTGTGGTTGGTCTGATACCACTGTGCGATGGTGTTCTCCTGTGGGTTGGTGGCGGTGTTGGTTACGGCCGTTGGCCACCAGCTGTGATGCAACCGAGTTTGCTGTGACCGTTGTGATTATGGGTGGTGTGGTGTGGTCTTCGCCAAGACGGCGGATTGTAGCCCATGCCTTCCTGCTGTTATTTGTCATATTGGTGTTCTCTATCATTTCCTTCCAGACTTTCCTTCGTTCTTCCCCAACTTCACTGATCAGGGTCTCTCCAAGTTCCATGGTGGTAGAGGAGAAAGGGTCCTTATTATATTCCTCATAGTAGGCTTTCAGCAGGTCGCTGGATGTTTCTGATAGCCCAGGAATATACTGTGTCTGGCATCCCCTGGGTATGTGACGTCTGGCTGACCTTTTTACCAAGTCTGTGAAGTTGGAGTAGTTATTGGGAAATGGTGGAATGCTCTATCTCCTGTTGGAACGACAACCAGTCGGCTTTCCGTACGTTGAACCTCCTGGGACGAATGGGACGGTGGTTGCTTGGAGAGCGGATCTAACGGTGATGGCAATTGGCCGGTGCTGGGTATGGGGGATAGGGTCCAGGACTTCCTTCTCAGTTCTGGATGCGATGTCACTGCTTACACAGGCGAGGTCTGGGTTGTATCCTCGTTTCCATCTGGCGCTGTGGAAGGATTTGGGTAGTTTAACAGAACACTAATGTTACGCTAATATAACCCCCTCAGATCAGCAGTGCTGTGGACATGGAGTCCGTGACCTTCAGGAAGCTGGTGAAAGGTCACGCCTATTCCGTGACGTCCCTCAGACAGGTGGGTCACACACATGCGCACACACACACACACACACACACACACACACACACACACACACACACACTATCACCCCATCTGTTTCCTGTCAGGTGGATTACCGAGGTCGTCAGGAGCTTCTGATCCGGATCAGGAACCCCTGGGGCCAGGTGGAGTGGACCGGAGCCTGGAGCGACAGGTGTGTGTGTGTGTGTGTGTGTGTGTGTGTGTGTGTGTGTGTGTGTGTGTGTGTGTGTGTGTGTGTGTGTGTGTGTGTGTGTGTGTGTGTGTGTGTGTGTGTGTGTGTGTGTGTGTGTGTGTGTGTGTGTGTGTGTGTGTGTGTGTGTGTGTGTGTGTGTGTGTGTGTGTGTGTGTGTGTGTGTGTGTGTGTGTGTGTGTGTGTGTGTGTGTGTGTGTGTGTGTGTGTGTGTGTGTGTGTGTGTGTGTGTGTGTGTGTGTGTGTGTGTGTGTGTGTGTGTGTGTGTGTGTGATGACAGTGTAACTAACAGTTTTAATCTGTATTTCTGTTCATGTGCAGGCCAGCTCTCTGCACATTTAAGATTGTTCAAAATGTTTCACTTTGTGTGTGTGTGTGTGTGTGTGTGTGTGTGTGTGTGTGTGTGTGTGTGTTTCAGCTCCTCTGAGTGGAGCAGCGTTGATTCTGCAGAGAAAGATGAGCTGCTCTGTCAGATGGAGGACGGAGAGTTCTGGTAGGTAGAGCTGATTCCAGGTCAGTCTGAACCAGAACTCACTATAAGAGGAGAGTCTTCAGTCTTTAGCAGCAGAACTAGCAGCTGGTCCCAGGTCAGTCTGAACCAGAACTCACTATAAGAGGAGAGTCTTCAGTCTTTAGCAGCAGAACTAGCAGCTGGTCCCAGGTCAGTCTGAACCAGCCCTCACTATAAGAGGAGAGTCTTCAGTCTATAGCAGCAGAACTAGCAGCTGGTCCCAGGTCAGTCTGAACCAGAACTCACTATAAGAGGAGAGTCTTCAGTCTTTAGCAGCAGAACTAGCAGCTGGTCCCAGGTCAGTCTGAACCAGCCCTCACTATAAGAGGAGAGTCTTCAGTCTATAGCAGCAGAACTAGCAGCTGGTCCCAGGTCAGTCTGAACCAGCCCTCACTATAAGAGGAGAGTCTTCAGTCTATAGCAGCAGAACTAGGAGCTGGTCCCAGGTCAGTCTGAACCAGAACTCACTATAAGAGGAGAGTCTTCAGTCTTTAGCAGCAGAACTAGCAGCTGGTCCCAGGTCAGTCTGAACCAGCCCTCACTATAAGAGGAGAGTCTTCAGTCTATAGCAGCAGAACTAGCAGCTGGTCCCAGGTCAGTCTGAACCAGCCCTCACTATAAGAGGAGAGTCTTCAGTCTATAGCAGCAGAACTAGCAGCTGGTCCCAGGTCAGTCTGAACCAGAACTCACTATAAGAGGAGAGTCTTCAGTCTTTAGCAGCAGAACTAGCAGCTGGTCCCAGGTCAGTCTGAACCAGCCCTCACTATAAGAGGAGAGTCTTCAGTCTATAGCAGCAGAACTAGCAGCTGGTCCCAGGTCAGTCTGAACCAGCCCTCACTATAAGAGGAGAGTCTTCAGTCTATAGCAGCAGAACTAGCAGCTGGTCCCAGGTCAGTCTGAACCAGCCCTCACTATAAGAGGAGAGTCTTCAGTCTATAGCAGCAGAACTAGGAGCTGGTCCCAGGTCAGTCTGAACCAGAACTCACTATAAGAGGAGAGTCTTCAGTCTTTAGCAGCAGAACTAGCAGCTGGTCCCAGGTCAGTCTGAACCAGCCCTCACTATAAGAGGAGAGTCTTCAGTCTATAGCAGCAGAACTAGCAGCTGGTCCCAGGTCAGTCTGAACCAGCCCTCACTATAAGAGGAGAGTCTTCAGTCTATAGCAGCAGAACTAGCAGCTGGTCCCAGGTCAGTCTGAACCAGCCCTCACTGTAAGAGGAGAGTCTTCAGTCTATAGCAGCAGAACTAGGAGCTGGTCCCAGGGGCCTCATTTACAAACGGTGCGCACGCACAAAAAATGGCGTACGCCAGTTTCTACGCACTGTTTGCGATTTATAAAAAACGAACTTGACAGGAAAATGTGCGGTCCTCCACGCAAACTCTAACCCATGCGTACGCACTAAGCACAACAACAGGAGAGACGAGAAACTGCGACACCGTTGGCAGAAGAAAGAATGGAGAGAAATATGTGGAAATAAGACCATCAATAAAATGTTACCTCTCATTTATCAAATATGAAGAATTCATTTTCAAACATTGATTAAAGCCAATCTTTAAATGATGAAACAAACGCCTGTTTGAGACTCCTCAGTGCACACAAAAACATAACTTGGAGAAATAAATAAATACGGATATGTTATTTAAAACCACCTCGAATATGTTGTGTTAATGTTATGAAATGTTTTCTCATAAATGATGCGGTAAGCAGGAGGACAGAATAACGTCTAAACTGACGCCGTTTTGCATTTCTATAGGTTGTAGATACGAGCATGGTTTTATATACTGTCACGTTTAATCGTGTTTTATGCCGTTTGCCAAGACTTGATAAGTGGCTCGTAAAACACAGGAGGTATGGAAACTAAGAACACCATATGTGGTAAACAGCTAATATAACACAACACATTGTATTTCCTTTAACTGGTGGATTATGGATATATAGTTGCTGATCGACAGCTGGAACACAAACCACCAAATACAACACAATAATTCAGATCCAGTCGTCATGACTACACTCCGGAGGGATTCCCCCATCATTTCTTACAGTTTCTCATCAAGGGGGGGGGGTCTCCTGTCCCCGGTACAAACACACTGCCTAAGGAAGGTAATGTGTATTTATTTTGTCACTAACTTTTTTCGGACCACTTATTTATTTATTTTGCTGACGATCCGACCTCCATGCTGCTCCTCTGGTTCAAACTGCATCCACCAAACAATATGATTTATCTCCACCTCCCCACAATAACCTAAATCTGACACGGTGTGAGATGTCTTTTTTAGCTGTTCTGTCGTCATTTCCTGATCTTCTTCATGCAGTCAGTCACAATGAATGAATGAATGAATGAATGGGCGTTTCTTTGACTATTTATAGGCAAATATGGGCGTTACGTGAAGCCTGCAAAAGCTGCGCCGCATTTCGAGTTGATTGTGATTTATAAAGGGAAACCGGCACAGGATGTGCCGTACGCAAGTCCTGCGCCGGTACGCAGTCTTTTATGAATCGGAAAGTGTCGGTGCGTATTTATTTGCTTTGTCCTACGTAAGCAACCTTCCCACGCCAATCCTACGCAAGGCTTTGTCAATGAGGCCCCAGGTCAGTCTGAACCCTCACTATAACCTTTTCTCTCTGTCTGTGGTTCAGGATGTCCTTCCAGGAGTTCCTGCGTCAGTTTTCCCGTCTGGAGATCTGTAACCTGACGCCAGACGCTCTCAGCTCGGAAGCTTCTAGCAGCTGGAGCTGCTCTCTGTTCGAGGGGGGCTGGAGGAGGGGCAGCACCGCGGGGGGGTGCAGGAACCATCCCAGTGAGGAGCCTTTATCATGAGTCCTAAACCTGACACGAGTCAACATTATGAGTCCTGACACGAGTCAACATTATGAGTCCTGAACCCTGACATGAGTCAGCATTATGAGTCCTGAACCCTGACATGAGTCAGCATTATGAGTCCTGAACCCTGACACGAGTCAGCATTATGAGTCCTGACATGAGTCAACATTATGAGTCCTGAACCCTGACATGAGTCAGCATTATGAGTCCTAAACCTGACACGAGTCAACATTATGAGTCCTGACATGAGTCAGCATTATGAGTCCTGAACCCTGACACGAGTCAACATTATGAGTCCTGAACCCTGACATGAGTCAGCATTATGAGTCCTGAACCCTGACACGAGTCAACATTATGAGTCCTAAACCTGACACGAGTCAACATTATGAGTTCTGACATGAGTCAGCATTATGAGTCCTGAACCCTGACATGAGTCAGCATTATGAGTCCTGAACCCTGACACGAGTCAGCATTATGAGTCCTGACATGAGTCAGCATTATGAGTCCTGAACCCTGACACGAGTCAACATTATGAGTCCTGAACCCTGACATGAGTCAGCATTATGAGTCCTGACATGAGTCAGCATTATGAGTCCTGAACCCTGACACGAGTCAACATTATGAGTCCTGAACCCTGACATGAGTCAGCATTATGAGTCCTAAACCTGACACGAGTCAACATTATGAGTCCTGAACCCTGACACGAGTCAACATTATGAGTCCTGAACCTGACACGAGTCAACATTATGAGTCCTGACATGAGTCAGCATTATGAGTCCTGAACCCTGACATGAGTCAGCATTATGAGTCCTGAACCCTGACATGAGTCAGCATTATGAGTCCTAAACCCTGACACGAGTCAACATTATGAGTCCTGAACCCTGACACGAGTCAACATTATGAGTCCTGAACCCTGACACGAGTCAACATTATGAGTCCTGACACGAGTCAACATTATGAGTCCTGAACCTGACACGAGTCAACATTATGAGTCCTGAACCCTGACACGAGTCAACATTATGAGTCCTGACATGAGTCAGCATTATGAGTCCTGAACCCTGACATGAGTCAGCATTATGAGTCCTGAACCCTGACATGAGTCAGCATTATGAGTCCTGACATAAGTCAGCATTATGAGTCCTGAACCCTGACATGAGTCAGCATTATGAGTCCTGACATAAGTCAGCATTATGAGTCTTGAACCCTGACATGAGTCAGCATTATGAGTCCTGACATAAGTCAGCATTATGAGTCCTAAACCCTGACACGAGTCAGCATTATGAGTCCTAAACCCTGACACGAGTCAACATTATGAGTCCTGACATGAGTCAGCATTATGAGTCCTGAACCCTGACATGAGTCAGCATTATGAGTCCTGAACCCTGACATGAGTCAGCATTATGAGTCCTGACATAAGTCAGTATTATGAGTCCTGAACCCTGACATGAGTCAGCATTATGAGTCCTGACATAAGTCAGCATTATGAGTCTTGAACCTTGACATGAGTCAGCATTATGAGTCCTGACATAAGTCAGCATTATGAGTCCTGAACCCTGACACGAGTCAACATTATGAGTCCTGAACCCTGACACGAGTCAGCATTATGAGTCCTAAACCTGACACGAGTCAACATTATGAGTCCTAAACCTGACACGAGTCAACATTATGAGTCCTAAACCTGACACGAGTCAACATTATGAGTCCTGAACCTGACACGAGTCAGCATTTCACATAATTTAAAGAGGAATAAAAGTAACCCACTGTTTCATTTCCGAAAAAATACAATAAAAGTGCAGTAGAAAATGTTAACTACCTGAGCCCAACAGATAGAAACTACATTACCCATGATGCTCTGCCCCTGCAGACACGTTCTGGATCAACCCTCAGTTCAAGGTGTGTCTGCTGGAGGAGGACGACGACCCTGAGGACGAGGAGAAGGCCTGCAGCCTGCTGGTGGCTCTGATGCAGAAGGACCGGCGCCGCCACCGCCGCCTCGGAGCGGACACGCACACTATCGGGTTCGCTGTGTACCAGGTACCACTCAGATCTGATGTAGCATCCCCTTAGCTAGCACGTTAGCATGTGATCAGTAACGTGAGTCTCTGTTGTGTTTCCCCTCACAGATCCCTGAGGAGGTGAGTCAGTCTTCAGTTGATCAGATTCATCTTTATCGTTGTCTCAGTGTTACCCTGACTGTTACACCGCCTGTAGCCCGTCTGTAGCCCGTCTGTAGCCGTCTGTAGCCCGTCTGTAACCCGTCTGTAGCCTGTCTGTAACCTGTATGTAACCCGTCTGTAACCCGTCTGTAGCCCGTCTGTAACCCGCCTGTAACCCGCATGTAACCGTCTGTAACCCGCCTGTAACCCGTCTAGCCCGTCTGTAACCCGTCTGTAACCCGCCTGTAGCCCGCCTGTAGCCCATCTGTAACCCGTCTGTAGCCCGTCTGTAACCCGTCTGTAACCCGTCTGTAACCCGTCTGTAACCCGTCGGTAACCCGTCTGTAACCCGTCTGTAGCCCGTCTGTAACCCGTCTGTAACCCGCCTGTAACCCGCCTGTAACCCATCTGTAACCCGTCTGTAACCCGTCTGTAACCCGCCTGTAACCCGCCTGTAGCCCGTCTGTAGCCCGTCTGTAACCCGTATGTAGCCCGTCTGTAACCCGCCTGTAACCCGCCTGTAACCGTCTGTAGCCCGCATGTAACCCGTCTGTAACCCGTCTGTAACCCGTCTGTAACCCGTCTGTAACCCGTCTGTAGCCCGCATGTAACCCGTCTGTAGCCCGTCTGTAACCCGTCTGTAACCCGTCTGTAGCCCGTCTGTAACCCGTCTGTAACCCGCCTGTAACCCGCCTGTAACCCGCCTGTAACCCGCCTGTAACCGTCTGTAGCCCGTCTGTAACCCGCCTGTAACCCGTCTGTAGCCCGTCTGTAACCCGCCTGTAACCCGCCTGTAACCCGCCTGTAACCGTCTGTAGCCCGTCTGTAACCCGCCTGTAACCCGTCTGTAGCCCGTCTGTAACCCGCCTGTAACCCGCCTGTAACCCGCCTGTAACCCGTCTGTAACCCGTCTGTAGCCCATCTGTAACCCGCCTGTAACCCGCCTGTAACCCGCCTGTAACCGTCTGTAGCCCGTCTGTAACCCGCCTGTAACCCGTCTGTAGCCCGCCTGTAACCCGTCTGTAACCCGTCTGTAACCCATCACAGCAGCTCCATGTGTAACATCAACAGACAAATATCAAGACACATGAGAAACAAACAACAAACATGTAACATAACAGCAGGATCAGTGAGAGCTGCTCAAAGAGCCTTCAGGGATCATTTGATCTGTCGCTCTGTGTTCACTGAGAGGATGGACTGGAGCTCTGTGTTCACTGAGAGGATGGACTGGAGCTCTGTGTTCACTGAGAGGATGGACTGGAGCTCTGTGTTCACTGAGAGGATGGACTGGAGCTCTGTGTTCACTGAGAGGATGGACTGGAGCTCTGTGTTCACTGAGAGGATGGACTGGAGCTCTGTGTTCACTGAGAGGATGGACTGGAGCTCTGTGTTCACTGAGAGGATGGACTGGAGCTCTGTGTTCACTGAGAGGATGGACTGGAGCTCTGTGTTCACTGAGAGGATGGACTGGAGCTCTGTGTTCACTGAGAGGATGGACTGGAGCTCTGTGTTCACTGAGAGGATGGACTGGAGCTCTGTGTTCACTGAGAGGATGGACTGGAGCTCTGTGTTCACTGAGAGGATGGACTGGAGCTCTGTGTTCACTGAGAGGATGGACTGGAGCTCTGTGTTCACTGAGAGGATGGACTGGAGCTCTGTGTTCACTGAGAGGATGGACTGGAGCACAGAGGATGCTTCAGTCTGACTTTATTGAATCTCCATTAGATGGTAGCAGTTCATATTCTCTGTTCAGAGCATGCTTTGAGTCCCAGATGATGTTGTTGGACAGGTTATTAGGTTGTTATGGTAACCCGTCTGTCCCTCCGTCAGTTGTCCGGCTGTCCCAGCGTCCACATGAAGAAGGACTTCTTCCTGCGCCACTCGTCCTGCGCTCGCTCTGAAACCTTCATCAACCTGAGAGAGGTGAGCGCTAGGCTCCGCCTCCCGCCAGGTGAGTACCTGGTGGTGCCGTCCACCTTCGAGCCGTCACAGGAGGCCGACTTCGTGCTGAGGGTCTTCACGGAGAGACGAGCCGACACAACGTGAGTCTCTACAGATCTCTGATGGTTATCAAACACTATAGGGAGATATCAACGTGTGTGTGTGTGTGTGTGTGTGTGTGTGTGTGTGTGTGTGTGTGTGTGTGTGTGTGTGTGTGTGTGTGTGTGTGTGTGTGTGTGTGTGTGTGTGTGTGTGTGTGTGTGTGTGTGTGTGTGTGTGTGTGTGTGTGTGTGTGTGTGTGTGTGTGTGTGTGTGTGTGTGTGTGTGTGTGTGTGTGTGTGTGTGTGTGTGTGTGTGTGTGCAGGGAGATGGACGACAATGTGGAGGCTAACTTAGAAGAAGAGGTAACAAATGTTTTTCTTCAATTAGGTTAATTTGCTCACTCATACAGAATCCACAATTTTCAGATTGTAAAATAAAACCCTATTTCTTATAATATAATTCCTGCTTCCTGTTTCCTGCTTCCTGCTTCCTGCTTCCTGTTTCCTGCTTCCTGTTTCCTGCTTCCTGTTTCTTGTTCTTCTTCTCTACAGGTGGAGATCTCGGAGGACAACGTTGATGATTCCTTCAGGTCGATGTTCGCTCAGCTGTCCGGAGACGTGAGTCTGAAACTTCCTGTTTACTGAGGAGGACTGAGGAGTACTGACGGGTACTGAAGAGTACTGACGAGTACTGACGGGTACTGACGGGTACTGAGGAGGACTGAGGAGGACTGAGGAGGACTGAGGAGGACTGACGGGTACTGAAGGGTACTGACGAGTACTGACGAGTACTGACGGGTACTGAGGAGGACTGAGGAGGACTGAGGAGGACTGACGGGTACTGAGGAGTACTGAGGAGTACTGAGGAGTACTGACGGGTACTGACGAGTACTGACGAGTACTGAGGAGGACTGAGGAGGACTGAGGAGGACTGACGGGTACTGACGGGTACTGACGGGTACTGACGAGTACTGACGAGTACTGACGGGTACTGAGGAGCACTGAGGAGGACTGAGGAGGACTGAGGAGGACTGACGGGTACTGAGGAGTACTGAGGAGTACTGAGGAATACTGACGGGTACTGACGGGTACTGACGAGTACTGACGAGTACTGAGGAGGACTGAGGAGGACTGAGGAGTACTGAGGAGTACTGAGGAGTACTGACGGGTACTGACGGGTACTGACGAGTACTGACGAGTACTGACGGGTACTGAGGAGGACTGAGGAGGACTGAGGAGGACTGACGGGTACTGAGGAGTACTGAGGAGTACTGACGGGTAGGGATGCTCCGATCGCCAATTTTGGGGCCGATCGCCGATCGCCGGAATCAGTATCTGCCGATACCGATCGCCGATCCGATCGAGTGGGCGGGGCCTAAATGGAAGATTTAAACATCACTTTAAATCTTCCATTTAAAGTGATGTTTAAAACTCAGTTAATGGGGCTCATTCACTGGAGCTTCCACAAACAACAATCAACTTAATTATTACATTCAAATTATGTATATTATTCAAGTTTACATTCACTTTGGATAATAACACGGGAGAAATGAGCAAGCGCTCTCTTTTCCTCTCTCTCCCTCTCTCTCTCCCTCTCTCTCTCCCCCTCTCTCTCTCCCTCTCTCTCTCCCCCTCTCTCTCCCCCGCTCTCCCTCTCCTGACAGCCCGTCAGTATCGTCTCATGCAGCTCGCTGATCCAGTAATGTGTGAGGCCGACAGTGAAGAATAAACATATTTATAACTAGTTTAGCTTGTTCCAGAGGTAGATAAAATAGCTAAGTGTGTTAGGTCTAACTCTTAATGTGTGTTCTGCTCCGCTCACCGGTCCGTCACACCGGTCCGTCACAGCGGGTGGAGCTGCAGGGTTTCTGCTTCACACACGTTGCATACCGCTATTTTACTGTCTTTTTCGGACACCTTAAAATAATGCCAGACCGGTGAAGCCATTTTGGCGAGCTTGTTTTGCCGCGCACAGAGAAAAGTGTCATGTATTTTACGTCATGCGATCGGCCCTCGCGATCGGCATGTTTAGAGAGCACCGATCGATCGGTAGAGAGTGAGTATCGGCAGATCTCGATCGGTGACCGATCGATCGGAGCATCCCTACTGACGGGTACTGACGAGTACTGACGAGTACTGACGGGTACTAAGGAGTACTGACAGGTACTGACGAGTATTGACAAGTTCTGACTTGTACTGAAGAGTACTGACGGGTACTGACGAGTACTGACAGGTACTGACGGGTACTGAGGAGTACTGACAGGTACTGACGGGTACTGAGGAGTACTGACGGGTACTGACGAGTATTGACGAGTTCTGACTTGTACTGAAGAGTACTGACGGGTACTGACGAGTACTGACAGGTACTGACGGGTACTGAGGAGTACTGACAGGTACTGATGGGTACTGAGGAGTACTGACAGGTACTGACGGGTACTGAGGAGGACTGAGGAGTACTGACGAGTACTGACGGGTACTGACAGGTACTGACGGGTACTGAGGAGGACTGAGGAGTACTGACAGGTACTGACGGGTACTGAGGAGTACTGACGAGTACTGACGGGTACTGAGGGGTACTGAGGGGTACTGAAGAGTACTGAGGAGTACTGACGGGTACTGAGGAGTACTGAAGAGTACTGAAGAGTACTGACGGGTACTGACAGGTACTGACAAGTATTGACGAGTTCTGACTTGTACTGAAGAGTACTGAGGAGGACTGAGGAGTACTGACGGGTACTGACGAGTACTGACGGGTACTGACGAGTACTGACGGGTACTGACTAGTGCTGAGGGGTACTGACGAGTATTGACGGGTACTGACGAGTACTGACGGGTACTGACGAGTACTGACGGGTACTGACGGATACTGACGAGTACTGACGAGAACTGACGGGTACTGAAGAGTACTGACGACTACTGACGGATACCGAAGAGTACTGATGAGTACTGACAAGTTCTGACGAGTACTGACGGGTACTGACGAGTACTGACGGGTACTGACTAGTGCTGAGGGGTACTGACGAGTATTGACGGGTACTGACGAGTACTCAGGGTACTGATGAGTACTGATGAGTACTGACGGGTACTGTCAAGTTCTGACTAGTACTGACGAGTACTGACGAGTACTGACGAGTACTGACAAGTTCTGACTAGTACTCACGGGTACTGATGGGTACTGACGAGTACTCACGGGTACTGACGTGTACTGACGAGTACTGACGAGTACTAACGAGTACTGACGGGTACTGACGGGTAATGACGGGTACTCGTCAGTACATCATAATATATTTAGTCTTCAGCGTGTCGGTGTGAAAGGTTGGATGTGAAAAATCTAAATATGAGTTTGTTCATTTGGTTTTGTTACTTCCTGTGAAGGTGATTTGAGCGTTGGCTCAAGACTTTGAGAGTCTCTGAGGTTTCACTCAGAGATGATGAGACAAGAGGTGAAATGGTTACTTCCTGTTTGATGATGATGAAAGTCTCCATAATGTTGAAATAATAATAAATATTTCAGGACATGGAGATCTCAGTGCGAGAGCTGAGGACCATCCTGAACCGAGTCGTGTCCAAACGTGAGTCCTCAGGAGCTGTAAGACATGTTCTTACAACACTAACAGGAATATTATAAACAACACGAGTCCTCCTCTAAATATGGTTAGGATATATGTTCTTGATTTATAAACTCAGCTGTGTTCTTCTTCTGTGGTTCCTCAGACAGAGACCTGCAGACGGACGGCTTCAGCAGCGAGTCGTGCAGTGCCATGGTCAGCCTCATGGACGTATCCTCCCACAGGAAGCTACTGGTTCACACAGGAAGTTACAGGTTTACACAGGAAGTAATAAACAGGAAGTTACTGGTTTAAACTGGAGGTTACGGGTTTACACCACTCTTTGTGGTTCTGCTGGTTCTGCTGTGTGTTCTTGATGTGTTTACAGGAAAAAGATTGGACCTTAACTCCAGATCAGAAAGACGGCAGCTTCCGCCTCGGCCTTCTGGAGTTCCAGATCCTCTGGAACAAGATCCGGAAGTGGCTGGTAGGTTCTGCAGAGGAACCGTACTAGAGTTCTGTATCAGGTTCTGAGTCTCAGAGGAGGAACCGTACTAGAGTTCTGTATCAGGTTCTGAGTCTCAGAGGATGAACCGTACTAGAGTTCTGTATCAGGTTCTGAGTCTCAGAGGAGGAACCGTACTAGAGTTCTGTATCAGGTTCTGAGTCTCAGAGGATGAACCGTACTAGAGTTCTGTATCAGGTTCTGAGTCTCAGAGGAGGAACCGTACTAGAGTTCTGTATCAGGTTCTGAGTCTCAGAGGAGGAACCGTACTAGAGTTCTGTATCAGGTTCAGAGTTCTTGTGAACATATTTCTCTGCAGGGAATCTTCCGGGAGTTGGATCTGGATAAATCAGGATGCATGAGTTCCTACGAGATGCGGCTGGCTCTGGAGAACGCAGGTGAGTCTCACGAGTCTCTTTGAGTGTCTTTGAGTCTCATTGAGTCTCTTTGAGTCTCTTTGAGTCTCACGAGTCTCTTTGAGTGTCTTTGAGTCTCATTGAGTCTCTTTGAGTCTCACGAGTCTCTTTGAGTGTCTTTGAGTCTCATTGAGTCTCTTTGAGTCCCACGAGTCTCTTTGAGTCCCTTTGAGTCTCACGAGTCTCTTTGAGTCTCACGAGTCTCTTTGAGTCCCTTTGAGTCTCACGAGTCTCTTTGAGTGTCTTTGAGTCTCATTGAGTCTCTTTGAGTCCCACGAGTCTCTTTGAGTCCCTTTGAGTCTCACGAGTCTCTTTGAGTCCCTTTGAGTCTCACGAGTCTCTTTGAGTGTCTTTGAGTCTCATTGAGTCTCTTTGAGTCTCACGAGTCTCTTTGAGTCCCTTTGAGTCTCACGAGTCTCTTTGAGTGTCTTTGAGTCTCTTTGAGTCCCTTTGAGTCTCTTTGAGTCCCTTTGAGTCCCTTTGAGTCTCATTGAGTCTCTTTGAGTGTCTTTGAGTCTCATTGATTCTCTTTGAGTCTCACGAGTCTCTTTGAGTCCCTTTGAGTCCCTTTGAGTCTCTTTGAGTCTTGCTGATGATCTAGTGGCGTTGTCCACAGGAAGTAGTCCTCCCCCATGTTTTGAATGACCTTTATTGACCCTGTGTCCGCAGGCTTCAAACTGAACAACCAGCTGCACCAGATGCTGGTCGCTCGATACGCCGACAGCGAGGTCATCGACTTCGACAACTTCACCTGCTGCCTGGTCAAACTGGAGGCCATGTTCAGTACGTTCACGCATCACCAACACATGAGCATTATCCTGCAGAACCACACTTTCTACTTTTGATGAGGCTACTTATATCTTTCTGCAATAACACTGAAATAATGAAGAGGTTGAAGATGCTGCAGGGGTCTAGTTTAGTCAAATATGATTCATTGATTTAGGATCCTGCCGAGTTTGAAGAAAGTGTTTCTGCATGATAACGAGCTTTAACGCTTTTACACACAAAACGAGTCGCATGCCCGACAGATACTGGCTTTATATTCAAGTTTGAATGATTAGTTTTAATCTGAAACACGGAGTCCGGCTGAGTCTTCTTCTTCTGTGGTGTTTCTCAGGAGCGTTCCAGGCGCTGGATGGAGGCGGGACAGGAAGTGTGGAGCTGAGCCTCTCTGAGGTGAAAACTGTTTTCACTCTGATATTTTATACAATGATTTTATTTTTGAATTTTTATGTATAATATATATACAGTATTTCATATATTTGTACAGTCACACAGAATGAGTAACAGCTGCTCTCCTCCTCAGTGGCTCTGCATCAACATGAGCGGCTGAACATCCACACAGGAGGGAGGAACTGCAGGAATACTGCGGGGATACTGCGGGAATACTGTGGGAATACTGCGGGAATACTGTGGGAATACTGTGGGAATACTGCGGGAATACTGTGGGAATACTGTGGGGATACTGTGGGAATACTGTGGGGATACTGCGGGAATACTGCGGGAATACTGTGGGAATACTGCGGGAATACTGTGGGAATACTGTGGGGATACTGCGGGAATACTGCGGGAATACTGTGGGAATACTGTGGGAATACTGTGGGGATACTGTGGGAATACTGTGGGGATACTGCGGGAATACTGCGGGAATACTGCGGGAATACTGCGGGGATACTGTGGGGATACTGTGGGAATACTGTGGGGATACTGTGGGAATACTGCGGGAATACTGCGGGAATACTGTGGGAATACTGCGGGAATACTGCGGGAATACTGCGGGAATACTGCGGGAATACTGTGGGAATACTCTGAAACTGCATTAAATAACAGTAAAACACAGTTACACTTCAGGAATAACACAGTCATATATCAGAAATACTGCATGAATATATCTGTAATGCTATGCAAATATATAACTACAGCATTACATATTACCTAAAGTAATACCCAGTCCACTGACACCACTGACAATGCTCAGTTGCTGGTGTTTGTGAGTTTTGATGATGAGGCAAAGGGGGAGTTTGTTGAAGATGTGTTGGGCCTGACGAACCTCAGTGGACACACAAGGGGGCAAGACATTTATAAAGCAATAATGGGAATGCTGAATGAAAGAGGGTGCAGCTGCCTTTATTCATAACTGTGCAGCTCTCACACTGCGACTCTGAGGGATCAAGCACAGACACAATAACAATGAAAACTGCTGCAGACAGAGACTTTTTGTTTTTGCAACCTCGTGTTAAGAATCTTGTTGCAATTGTTTAAAAGTTTGAATGACCGTAATAAACGGACCTTTGTATTATTGAAACAATTTGGACCTTTAAGATTTGTATTTGAGTACCCCTGCTCTAGCTTAACTAGAGGGTTGGGATAAGTATGTTACTTTGAGGTATTGTATGCTAAATCTACCATTGTCCCGAAGTATACTTGTATCTGATGTACTTGCTATAATACCTCTCTATATCTGTGTTCTTTTTTCCTGTAAAACCTGATAATAAAAATTAAGTTACAAAAAAATAACTTCACAACATCATTACTTAAATATCTTATTATTAAAGACAAGAAAAAGGTTACATGTTTTGAATGGATTGAATTACACAATAATCACCAGCTACATTATGAGCTGTGGCAAAAGCTCCATTTGTGAAACCCAATGTTATGGAAGCTAATATGAATAATACCTTTGTATTGTTTTATTCAAATAATGAATGAATAAACTATGAAAATATGATACATAACAAACTTTGCAGTTAAAGTCAAACTATGTTCTGGGTTGCAACATGTTGTTACCACTTTAATAGTACTATATTTCTTTTGTGTGTTACTGCTATCAAATAACCTTAGCTCACCTCATGTCAATGTCAAACAGAAACTCTGGCTTCATTGTGCACTGTATCTATTATACATTTGTTTTGCCATTAATATAATCCAATGATGTGATAATAGAAGTCAAACCGACAAGTTCCCTTTGAAGAAAAGTATGTGCTTAACTTTTCAACTTCATGAATTAAGAGAAATGAAATGACAAAAGATCAACCTTAGCACACTGGTTATCATCTCAATGTCAAACAGAAACTCTGGATATCAAATGGCTCAATCTCGATGTCAACACATTCATTGTGCACTGTATCTATTATACATTTGTTTTGCCATTAATATAATCCAATGACGTCACATGTCACTTGTTAGACGCTTTTATCCAACGCGACTCACAGACTCAACACTGAGGACAATCCCCACAGGAGCACTTTGGGGTGAAGTGTCTCAGGGACACAACGACATGCTGACTGCAGTGGGGTTTGAACCTGTGACCCCCTGATCTGAACACCAACGCACTAACCCACTGCGCCACACGCCTTGTCAGTTAATAGAAGTCAAACTGACAAGTTCCCTTTGAAGAAAAGTATGTGCTTAACTTTTCAACTTCATGAATTAAGAGAAATGAAATGACACTGCAGAGATCAGCCTTAGCTCTGTGACGTTACTTTTCCATGGAGGGTTAGTCTTCAGTAATATAATAGAAACAGCAAAAAAGCGCTGTTTTCAGAATCATATTTCCTGATAGTTGTGATTATTTAAAGAATATACAAACGACAGAGAACATACTTCATCTTACAGTAAATTGCTGACAGGAATTCCAGCAAAGTTTCCATTGTTCATTTGTTTAACGGGGTATTTGCTTTTTGATAAAAGGGAACAGTTTCTTATCTCCAGCTGATTCATGATATCACATCACGTGGAAGGGCATTTGGAAACACAGCCTTGAGTTGTTGTATATAAAGGCTCTGCCACTGGAACATAACATAAAGTGACATGATGAAGTTGCTCCTGGTCCTGTCTGCCCTCGTGGCTTTCGCCGAATGCTTCCACAAGTAAGTCCTGCCTAGCTGGTTGAATTTCTTTGACATTTTACACATGAATAGGCTGAAATGTGAAAGGCAATCTCTCCATCTAGTATTCCTGAGGGTACATCCACAGGCTATCTTGCTTTGAGCTATCACACCTTTCAAACTTGCACAAAGCTTAAAGCAGAGCTTACTTTCTTATTTCTCCGGGTTTAAAGTCCCGGACATTTGTACAACTTGCTGATTCTTTTTGTATTCACCTTTATGAGCACAGGATTCCCCTGATCAAGGGAAAGACTGCCAGGGAAGCCCTGCAGGAGGAAGGAATATGGGAGGAGTACAGAAAGGAGCATCCATACAACCCCATGGCCAAGTTCTACCAGAGTGGCACTGAGTCTATGACCAACGATGCTGACGTGAGTCCAGACCAGAGACCACCATTATGAAGTAGTTAGCCTCTTCAAGCATGTAGCATCTATTTCATGTTAAGTACAAAATAAAAATCACTGACCTATTTTTCTGTGGCGGCAACATAACTATTTTGTGCTAAATATCAAGTCCAGTGCATGATGATTTGTCGTGTGCTCTGTGTCCCTCTAGCTTTCATACTATGGTGTGATCTCCATCGGCACCCCTCCCCAGTCCTTCAGCGTGATCTTTGACACCGGATCCTCCAACCTGTGGATCCCTTCAGTGTACTGCTCCAGCCAGGCCTGCCGTAAGTGTTACTGGGACCAACGCTGTTAAGAGTTGGATCATATGCTTCAAGCTTTTGGATAGTGCTTTACACAGTGGTGGAAAGTAACTATATTTACTCAAGTACTGTGTGTAAGAACAATTTGAAGGTTCTTTCACTTCTGCAACATACAAAGTAATGCAACCGTAATAGTAACTCAGCAGTATGATTATATTTCACTGACAGGAGCCATTGTGCAACATCAGTTCTATCTTTGAAAGTACATTTCACTCTAAATAAGTCTGTGCTTTTCTGAGGTAACATTTTGATTTTAAGAATTCAACTTGTAATGCAGTATTTGAAGTTGTTTTACTTACTAGAGATTTACATAACATTTGACAAAGACCTCATTCCTCTGCAGAGAACCACCGTAAATTCAACCCAAAGGAGTCCAGTACTTTCAAATGGGGAAACAAGCCTCTGTCCATCCAGTACGGCACCGGCAGCATGACTGGATATCTGGCCAGTGACACTGTTGAGGTAACCAACTGCCCTGGAACAAAATGCAAAGTCTATTTGGACTTCCAACAGGCATGACTCTGTGGTCTGTTGAACTGTGACTGACAGCTGTCTTGTGTATCCAGGTGGGCGGCATCTCTGTGGCCAACCAGGTGTTTGGACTCAGCCAGACAGAGGCTGCCTTCTTGGCTCACATGGCGGCTGATGGCATCCTGGGATTGGCCTTCCAGACCATCGCTTCTGACGACGTCGTGCCTGTCTTTGACATGATGGTCAAGGAGCGACTTGTGTCTCAGCCCCTGTTCTCTGTCTACCTGAGCAGGTATTGAAACTGGGTGGACATCTGTTAGTTGGCAGTATGTCAGTTCATGTGACATTGAATTCATGTATTGACATTTGTTTGTTTTTTCCTCTAATAGCAACAGTGCACAGGGCAGTGAGGTGGTCTTCGGTGGTATTGACAGCAGCCACTACACTGGAGAAATCGCCTGGATCCCTCTGTCCTCTGCCACCTACTGGCAGATCAACATGGACAGGTACAAAGGGAACAGAAACAAAATACTAACCACAAGCGTGAGTTGCAAAAAGCCTCCTAGTTTGATCGTCTCCTGTTCTTCCTCCACAGTGTTACCATCAATGGACAGACTGTAGCCTGCTCTGGTGGCTGCCAGGCCATCATTGACACTGGTACCTCCCTGATCGTTGGCCCAAACAGTGACATCAGCAGCATGAATTCCCGGGTTGGAGCCTCAACCAACCAGTACGGAGAAGTGAGTCATACCATCAGACCGTAACATTTGAAGTACATTTTCCCTATCTTCTGATCCCAGAGTAAACAGACATTTAGTGCTCTGACGTCAAAACTCTCCAATACAACTAATTAGGCAGGACTTATACTTGCTTTAGCTAGAAACCTGGAAAATACCAATGAATACAACTACACGATACTCAGCGTTATGTGTGACCTTCTTCTTGCAGGCTACAGTGAACTGCCGGGACATCCAAAGCATGCCTGAGGTCACCTTCACCCTCAACGGACACGCCTTCACCATCCCTGCATCTGCCTACGTCTCTCAGGTCAGCTGGAATCACTGCCACAGAAACCTTTTTCAACAATATCATGAGATTCTGGGTGATGTAAATACATGTTCTGTTGTCTCTCCACAGAGCTCCTACGGTTGCAGCACTGGCTTTGGCCAGGGTGGCCAACAGCTCTGGATCCTGGGAGATGTCTTCATCAGGCAGTACTATGCCATCTTTGACTCCAGCACTCAGACAATTGGTCTGGCCAAGTCTGTGTAAACACATGATTGATCGTTTATAAGTGTGTATTTCCCTGTAGAGACTTGTCTGATTGAAAACAAACAAAAGGTGCAAATGGATTTTGTGGAAATACATGATTCAACAACAAGGTAGCAGCCTTTGCAATAAATTGATTATAGCAACTTAATGCCTTCTGTGTATTTTGTGTGCATGCGTAAGTCGGACTGTGATGGTACATGAACGATTAAAGTGTAAGAAAACGTCTTTAGACTTCTTAGTTTTGATTTACAGCACTGCAATGTCAAAGGAATAAGAATCTGTTCATCCGTTCGTTCTTAGGAGAAACTTGACCTCTATTGAGGATACAAAAAGGATTGCCAGCTTTCTTCTGTAAAGGAAGAAGAATAGAGAATGGAGTATTGAGCGACTCTCAGAACAGCTTGTAATGGGGCAGCAGCTGATAACTGAAGCATTGATAGAACAAAGGATAACCCCATGACCTGACGACTCCGCTGCTTTCTCTGTGAACAGTTCCCTAAGGACTCATAGAAGAAAACACAAGCAAACACCGTCATATGCTCAGTTTTACCAGACAATGTTATTTCTTCAATGCAAAATAATTGTATTTGTATGTCATTCATCTTTTTGTCACAAACAACACATGCTACACACTATAGGATTCAGCGGCATCTAGTGAGCTTAAAGATTGCATCAAATTAAAAAACCCTCAGCACACTCCTCCATCTCCACGCGTGTTGCAGAGTGGCTTCAGGTAGAACAGGCCCTGTCTATAGCTACTTAGTACTTTATAGGCTACTGTAAAAACACAAAGGCGCTTGTGGACTCCTCGAGGAGGACCAGCTCCCTGTGTAGATATAAAAACACAACATCTCTCAGTTTGAGGGGATTGTGCACAAAGGATAAGAATATCATGAATACCATATTCCATATTTGACATGAAATCACTCTAAATACTACACATTGGACCTTTAATATTGTATGATCAGAACTCACAACTGATAAGAGAAGTGAAAAACAAAGAAGCAGAAGATGATGTTGATTTACCAGATTAACGGGAAGAAACTCAGCTAACTGACGATATGAACCTTTTTTACCAAAACAAAACACAAGTCTCACAAGAAGCGTCTAAATGACCCCTGAGCGAAAAAATGCTAACGCACTTAGCACAGAACTCAAGGTAAAAATGCCCTTATTACTGATCGTAACTGCACAAACAAGATAGCCGATTAAAGCTGAGACTCCACAGATTCTATAGGTATTAGTATCATCACTGAGCGATCAGAACTCGCAACAGGGGAAGCAAACACAGACATCACAACACGTAAAACGATAAAAACGCTGCTGAAGGTTAATCCAATGTGTCTGTCACTTTGAAATGATTATTGATAATCCATAATTCAATTTTTATGTAAAAATCGGAGAATTAATATTAGCTGCTAATGATAGACACCAGAGTGTATCGCAGCTTCCGGTTGTGGGGCATCCTGGCTGCGCAGCACTCATTCACCAATGGGTGATGTTTAGATGGATTTTAGGAACTCCCCCCTCGATTCTATTGGCTCTAACGGTCAGAAAGAGGTGTCAACCATCAAAATCGAGCAAGGGAGGCCAGAGATAGGTCAAATCCACCCAAATGACCCCAGAAGTGGGGTTTTTTGGCTAAATCTCTCTAAAAAGGTCAAATTTCACTTGTTTTGCATCAATCTTGATACAGGGTACTTATTATATGTTGTACTTTGGATTCCTAAAGCTTTTAGTCTACTAACCCATCATCCAAGGGTGGTTTTCACTATAAGTACAAAATAATGTTTGGACGGACACTATAATTTACAGTTTTTTACTATGTAAAATCTGAATTTTCTTTAAAATAAAAAACATCTATATTGATTCTGACTTTTCTACATCCAGCTCACAGGTTTATCATTACTTTGAGAAAAAAGATTATTAATTTAACCCTTTTAGAAGGGAAGATATGGTCATTTGTTCTGGGAATGGCATTTAGAGCCTGAGACCTGAAAAACAGGCTCGGGGCTCAACAAATCAAATCAGGGTTTATTTATGAAGCACATTTAAAAGCGATGTTTGGTCGGGCCAAAGTGCTGCACATGTAATAACTACAATCACATAAAAACACATTTCTATAATCACAATAATAATAATCACGTTCTGAGGTCATGTGGAGGAACAGAAAAGGAATAAAGGTTTTGTTCATATAAAGATATTTATTATAGAATGATAATGAATGAACATGAGTCCAGTCTTCTCCTGGTTCACAGAGAAGCTTAAAGTCCACAAACAAAGGATCCAGGTCCTTCAGTCCTTGTTCTTCAGGTCCTGGTCCTTGTCCTTCAGGTCCTGGTTCTGGTCCCCCTTGAGGTCCAGCTGGCCCAGCAGCAGGGCGTCTGCCTCCTTCAGCTCCTGGTTCTGGTCCCCCTTGAGGTCCAGCTGGCCCAGCAGCAGGGCGTCTGCCTCCTTCAGGTCCTGGTTCTGGTCCCCCTTGAGGTCCAGCTGGCCCAGCAGCAGGGCGTCTGCCTCCTTCAGGTCCTGGTTCTGGTCCCCCTTGAGGTCCAGCTGGCGCAGCAGCAGGGCCTCTGCCTCCTTCAGGTACGGGTTCTCGTCCCCCTTGAGGTCCAGCTGGCCCAGCAGCACGGCCTCTGCCTCCAGCAGGGTGATGTCACTGGAGGCTCCCAGGAACCTGGCAGTGAGCTCCAGGTCGATGAGCCTCAGCCGGACTCTGCTGCCTCTCTGCAGCTTGTCTCCCTCCTCAGGGCCTCCTCACCACGCAGTGGAACTTCCCCCCGAAGTCCACGTACAGGTCGTCCCGCACCACATGGAAGACCCTGCCCACCACCACCTTCCCTCGGGCCGGACCGAGCTGCACCAGGGGGGACTGGCGGAGCAGCTGGGGGAAACTGCTGCTGCTGAGAGAGAGAGTACATTATACTACGAGTACTTATACATACTACACTATGAGCAGCTGGGGGAAACTGCTGCTGCTGAGAGAGAGTACATTATACTACGAGTACTTATACATACTACACTATGAGCAGCTGGGGGAAACTGCTGCTGCTGAGAGAGTACATTATACTACGAGTACTTATACATACTACACTATGAGCAGCTGGGGGAAACTGCTGCTGCTGAGAGAGTACATTATACTACGCGTACTTATACATACTACACTATGAGCAGCTGGGGGAAACTGCTGCTGCTGAGAGAGAGTACATTATACTACGCGTACTTATACATATTACACTATGAGCAGCTGGGGGCAACTGCTGCAGCTGAGAGAGAGAGAGAGTACATTATACTACGCGTACTTATACATACTACACTATGAGCAGCTGGGGGAAACTGCTGCTGCTGAGAGAGAGTACATTATACTACGAGTACTTATACATACTACACTATGAGCAGCTGGGGGCAACTGCTGCTGCTGAGAGAGAGAGAGAGTACATTATACTACGAGTACTTATACATACTACACTATGAGCAGCTGGGGGAAACTGCTGCTGGGGGAGAGAGGGTACTTATTAAACTACCAGTACTTGTACTTATACTCTTACATACTACACTATGAGTACTTGTACTCTAACATACTACACTGTGAGGTCTTGTTATACCCACTCGGAGGTCTTGTTATACCCACTGTGAGGTCTTGTTATACCCACTCGGAGGTCTTGTTATACCCACTCGGAGGTCTTGTTATACCCACTCGGAGGTCTTGTTATACCCACTCGGAGGTCTTGTTATACCCACTCGGAGGTCTTGTTATACCCACTTGGAGGTCTTGTCTTGCCGCAGAGAGGAGTGCAGGTCGAAGGCAGCAGCGAAGCCGAGCGGTCTGTCCGAGCTGTAGGCTCTGGATCCGGGGAGAGAAGCTCTGGATCCGGGGAGAGAGGACCAGAGGACCCCGGAGGACGGGACTGAGCTCCGGGAGACAACCTTCCACAGCGCCGCCATGTTGTCTTCACTGAGGGGAAACAGCACGGGAACTTCTTCCGGTAGAGAAGAGACGTTGGGCGCCTCCTGGCTGCTCTTCCGGTACTGCAGAGGAGATTCAGATTCATTTAACTCAAATATAGGGACTTCAGAACTAGAACCAGAACCAGAACTAGAACGGTTTTCCTTTGTCTGTCCCGCCCGGGACCTTTACGGTTTTACAGCAGCAGAGCGTAGATAAGTGAAGAGAATATACTAACGGCTACTGGCTGAGCTCAGAAGAAGCTGCGCATGCGCCCTGGGCTCTCACTTTAACTACAGGGCTAAAGCAAGCGGCTAAGTAAAGCTAACAGCGAAGCTAACATGGAGGTGATCGTCAGCTCTCCGAGATTCAGCTTTTCTTCCTGGGTGTTTCCGGACGGGTCTCCGGTCAGAGAGGTGCTGACCCGGTTCTTACAACAACAGGTGAGTTAACTACAAGAGGAGAAACAGAAACAGACATAAACGGGGAGAAATGGGTTAGCTCAGGAGCTAATGGTAGCTCAGGAGCTAACGGTAGCTAACAAACAAACAGAAACAGGACGAACTGAAGGGGAACTCTCAACGTTGAGATAAAGATAATTATATATATATATATATATATATATATATATATATATAAGGATCAATCGGATGGCGTTAACTCGGATGAGATGCTTGTGTTAAAGAGGCAGCTAACAGCGTCAGTAGCTTTCAATCTAAAGATGCTCCTGTGTTGACGAGTTTATTTACAACAACACATATTTATGATCTATTATAATATCAGAGGATTCAGATTCTTTACTTCAGTTAAAGTACTAAACCCCCTGTAGAAATACTCATTTTCAGGTCAAAGTACTGCAAGATTCAACTTTATTATACATATAAGTAATATTAGGAACACTTTCTAAAGGTATTAGGAGTAAAGAAACTAGTAAATACATCTGTAAAATAAATGTAGTAAAAAGTACAATATTTGCTTGCTAAATGGAGGTGAGTAGAAGTATAAAGTAGTATAAAATGGAGATACTTGCAGTACAAATACCTCAAATGTGTACTTTAGTTCATTACTTGAGTAGATGTACTCACCTCTGTGTACAGCTGACTGAACTTTCATCTGAAATAAAGATTTAATTAAACTAAAATCCTCACATTCACAGTCGTTATTTTCTAACTGATAATCAGAAACTGTGAAATAAATATATTTTTTATATTAGCTTCATCCTAGCTTCATCCTAGCTTCATCATAGCTTCATCCTAGCTTCATCATAGCTTCATAGCGGCTTAACATGTTGTAAAATATTTAAACAGTTTTACACCTTGAGTTCTTTCATTGGGTGTTATGGACAAAACAGCAAAGTGTGTGTGTGTGTGTGTGTGTGTGTGTGTGTGTGTGTGTGTGTGTGTGTGTGTGTGTGTGTGTGTGTGTGTGTGTGTGTGTGTGTGTGTGTGTGTGTGTGTGTGTGTGTGTGTGTTGTGTGTGTGTGTGTGTGTGTGTGTGTGTGTGTGTGTGTGTGTGTGTGTGTGTGTGTGTGTGTGTGTGTGTGTGTGTGTGTGTGTGTGTGTGTGTGTGTGTGTGTGTGTGTGTGTGTGTAGGGACTTTCTTCATCTGCAGATTTCTACGTGCACAGTAATGGACGCCTGTCTGAGCTGGAGGACCCCCTGCAGGCGGGGGCCGTCTATCACCTGGAGCCCCGCCTCTGTGGGGGCAAAGGAGGTGAGGTTGTTGTTTCATGTGGAACCTACTGAGCAGGTTGAAAAAGAGATCAATGATCTCAAGGGATACACCTGGATACATGAAGACAGAACCACATGACGTTC